AAGAATAGACCATTCCAAGCTTTTACTTGTTGTTAAACAAATGTTTAAACAACTCTATTTATTCAATATTTTGCCACTGTTAATGTGGTATAATTTGAAATTTTTAGTAGACTAATAATGAGGATTGTAGAGAAAACAAGTGCAGTGTATTATCATTTTTATGGTGAATATTAGACCTGTTGGTTTTGTTTTGTCCTCTTTCAGCATTTGACACTATTAAACTAGAATTTCAAACTGTTGACGGACAGCTGGATAGTGCTTAAGATAAATAGTTTTTAGTTCTAAAATAGCAACTGCCAAAATATACCCATCACATCTTTGCCTAGCATCATCTCAGTTGTCAATAATAGACCTAACTTCTGAATTTATGGTTCAAGGTGAAACAAATTCAAACAATAGATGCTACTTTATTGTAAAAGTTATTGTAGTGTAGCTGACAAAGAGTATTTGCACAGTATCGTGATATGAAGTAATTGTGTGTTGGTTTATCAGAATTCAAATTCACCACAAACACAAAACTAGTATATAAAAAAAAGGAATGTCCTAAAATCTTCATGGTAATGGAGAAAAAAAATCTCTAGTCTGTTAGATTCATCAAATATCATAACCACAATCAAACATGAAACTGATACAAAAATGACATGCATCAAATAGTGAAAATTAAGGCAAAAAGACATGAAGATGAAGAAAAACGTACGGCACGAGCCTTCCTCAAAGATGATACATTTATATCAAACACCTTTATGTAATCGTGTTAAAACTGGCATCAGAAAAGGTTTACCTCTACTTAAAGAACCAGACAAACTATTTATGTACTTAGTTAATTAGACCCACGTTAAAGGTAAACGTAACAGGGATAGAACCAGTTGTAAAGTACAATTGATTGATCTTCAGTACATTGTTTTCTGTGGCTTAATGTTTATTATTCTAATCTAAAATATAGTAGAGAGTATGTTTTTTTTTCATTTAGTTCGTCCCACTCTTCTCTTTCAGAGAGAGACCTAGAAAAATTACTGAAACGTAGTAAGATTTTTCACCAGAAGATTGTCACCCCATTATTGCTGGAATCTCAAGTCCCTACTTCTGGTCTTAATGAAGTTGGGACAAGTGTCAAACCAGATGACTTGCGTAAAGAAGAGACTTATCCTCAGAAAGCAGAATTTTTAACTTTCTTCAGACTTCTGCCAACAACTTCGCAGAAAGTAGATGGTGATAATTGTTCAAGAATAACTTTCTTCAGCTTTATAAAATAAAATGTCTTCAAGAAAATAGCTATATAGTTGCTTTTAAAAATATTACGTGCGACAGAAAGTGTTCATGTACAGAAAACAGTTTTTCACACATTTTTATTAATTTGTTCAACACCAAATACCTGTAAATAAACAGATTCTTCCACGTCCAACTGAGCACCAACTGACAAATGTTGTTTTACATTTCTGGTACTTAAAAATAAACTATACAGAAAAAATTCACGCAAAGCTACTCAAGGGTTATATGCATTAGCCATCCCTAATTTAGCAGTGATAGATTACAGGTAAGGCAGCTAGTCAACACCACCCACTGCCAATTCTTGGGCTACTCTTTTACCAATGAATAGTGGGATTGACCATCACATTATAATGACCCATGGCATATTAGGTGATGGAAATTTGAACCCACAACCTGCAGATTACGAGTCAAGCACCCTAACCACCAGGCCATGCCAGTCATATCTTAAGAGATTTAAAATGTTAGCCATTAACTCTAAAATTATAAGTATTAACATATATATACTAGGTTTCATGTCATTAGCTCTCCCAGTAACTATCAAGCCTGATAACTGAAGTTTATATCTCTAAATTAATTCATGTGATACATTTAAACTTGATCTAGTGACTTAGACCTCACAAAAAAACAACAACAACAAAATTAATAGTAAAAAAAAAACTACGTTTTAATGAAGTAATATAACATGCATATGAGATCTTAGCTTGTGTTGGTAATAAAAAGTTATCTAATTTCTTTGATAGAAACAGCATAACATCAGTGTCAGATTAAGGCATAAGCTAACTAAGCTACAGCTTACAGCCTCATAATATATGGGGGCCACTTAGCTGCCTCTAAAAAAGAAAAAAACTGACTCCATTTCAGTTTTTTTCATCGTATGGGGCCTCTTAAATTTTACATAGCTTGGGGCCTCACAATGTCATAATTTGGCACTGGATGGTATCTTTAAAAAAAGTATTTGTTGTGGTTTGTTTGTTGTTAAGCCTAAAGCTACACAATGGACTTTCCAACATAGAGATGAATATATGCACCATACTAGAATTAATTTACTTGTGTTCTGATACTAGCTCATCAGTTTCAATTCATGTCTCTAAATATTTTGTCCATAAAGTCACACGCAACCAACCTGTTGCATCTCATAATGACGTCCTTTTAATAAAAACACTGCATAAGAATAATGACACAGAATTATATGCATTGTATGATATCGCAAGTGTTTTTGAAACATCAGGAATATGTGTTGTTGCCCGATGTATGAGCTGACTGTAAGGTACGGATATTTTGTTCTCCTTAGAAGTGGAGAAGACCTGGAGGATGGTTAAAAGTGAGAGAGAAAAAAGGAAACGAAAGTACTGGGAACGAGGGGAAAAGAAAAGATGCGTATCAACAGTTAGTTCTCAGAAGGAGGAAGGAAGAGGTAAACAAAAAATTCACAATGTGTTGTTTCAACAGTTCACTAGTTAGGAATCTCTGGTTGAACAACACTTGTGTAACAGTTGAACATTATTTTAAAGGTTGAATCAGTATTGGTAGGAAGTTCACAAAAATACCTTTCACATATTTTAAAACAAGAAGTTTTATATGTAGTGCAGTTGTCATAAAAGAAACTCAAGAACTTAATGATTTAATGGCAAATATTGAATCGATTCTAAACAGCTCGTATTACATTCTCATATTTCCTGCATTTAAAAACAAATGGTTCCATTTAAACATTTCTTGTATTTCTTCAATTCCTTCAGCATATTATTTGAGATGGCTTCTGTCTAATCCCTCTTTTTTTTTTATATGTTTAGTTGGATCAATAAAACTAGGATATAGAGATAAAAATGAGACAACAAATCTAACCTTTGAGCTTGAAGGACCTTTTCCATCTATAAAAAAACCTGGTAATGTTCACCTTCCTGTTAATACCCTCTCCCAGAACAGATCTTCAGCTGGCACGCTGGACAACTCATCAGAGGAAGGTAATAGTGTAAAAAAACTACTAATGAGAAATATTACAAGTTGGTTGGAGTTGTTTTACACTCTTGTCTTGTCAGTTTTTCTCTTAGTTATTTAGGAATTGATTCATATTATCAGTCCATCTCTGCTTCTACAAAAACATATTTTATGTTGTAATTTTGAGAAATATTTAGTTTTGATTTTCACAAACTTACCCGAGTTTCAGAGCAGTCTTAATAAAAGTTATACATTCATACATTATCTGGTTTCATGATGTTGTTTTTTGTTTTGTTTTTCAAATTTCTATTCTGTAATTTGAAGGTGTGGGTTGACCGTGTGGTAGATCTCTGGATTTTGAAGCTGGTGAGCCAGGTTCAAATCTGTGCTGTGCCACAAAGTATTCCCTGAACTTTAAGCTGTGGGTGTATTATAAGAGTGACAGTCAGTTCCATGGCATGGGAAGTAGGATGCTGCTAACTGGCTGCCTAATGATCTGGTCAATAATTCAAAATTAGGGATGGTGGCAGATAGATGTAGTGATTTTGCCACAAACATAGCTACAATTTGAAAGTTATCAGCAATGGAAAATGGTATATATTGATATCCTTTTCGGTAAATTCATTGTGAAGAGCATAGTTTGAAACGTGTTATTCTTTACAACCAGTAATTTTGACATTACAAGATTTAACTAACTGGATGGGGGAAACTAGGACTATTCAGCCTGACGTTACAAGATTTAACTAACTGGATGGGGGAAACTAGGACTATTCAGCCTGACATTACAAGGTTTAACTAACTGGATGGTGCAAACTAGGACTATTCAGCTTGACATAACAAGGTTTAACTAACTGGATGGTGCAAACTAGGACTATTCAGCCTGACATTACAAGTTTTAACTAACTGGGTGGTGGAAACTAGGACTATTCAGCCTGACATTACAAGGTTTAACTAACTGGATGGTGCAAACTAGGACTATTCAGCCTGACATTACAAGTTTTAACTAACTGGATGGTGGAAACTAGGACTATTCAGCCTGACATTACAAGTTTTAACTAACTGGATGGTGGAAACTAGGACTATTCAGCCGGAGTAACGGATTGTACTTCCAGACCTATTTCAGTCTGCACATTACCTAGAAGAACAAAAAAAGAGAGAGATTATTTAAAACCTAATAGTTGTCTACATTTTTAAAATAAGTTATGAAGCTTTTGATTTTTTTTTTACTGAATTTACAGATGAGTGTCAATTTTTTTCCAATTGTCAAATGTTTAAAGTTGGATCAAAGAATAGAGGGTTTGCATATTGTAAAGGAAATCTTCCAGTGTATGAGGTTTATTTCTCTTAGGTAAGGTGATACAAAAGAGAAAGACATATTTTGTGTTTCGTCCAGTAATAAAAGATAATAATTGTATATACAAGTTGGTACTAGTCATCAGTGCACGCAATTTATAAAGAAAAGTTCCACGCCAAAACATTAGTCTGAAGTTAGGCTATTTATTCATGTATATATCAGTATTTGATATTATATGTATATCTTTAGAATTAAAGAGAAGTGTTATGAAGGTGTTCTTGTTTGTGCTATATAGAAGCTACCCTCAAAGTATGTCGCACACGACTTTGCCCATTGAGTCATAAAGATCGGCCTGCAGAATCACCTAGTACGTCGGGGTTAAACACTTCAGTGTCATTGACACACAACCCTGAAGATAGCAAGCTTGTGGAAATGGACTTTGTGACACACAACCCTGAAGATAGCAAGCTTGTGGAAATGGACTTTGTGACACACAACCCTGAAGATAGCAAGCTTGTAGAGATGGACTTTGTGACACACAACCTGAGGGGTTGCAATCACGTGGAAATGAACTTTGTACAACAATTCCATAAGTCTGTACTTCATGCTACTAAGCTGCAGTTGGGTATATATATACATACTTTTATACTTAATAGTCATAGCATCATGAGAGATGTAATTAAGGTGTCACATCTTTTATTTTAACATTCCATTCATTGATGATGATATCTCAATAAAAAACTAAAGCATTTTTGAAATGCAACAATATCAGGATTCAAAATTAATGTGAATTTGTTATGTTTTGAAAATTTATGTTAGCTGTATGTTTCAGAATTAAAACGAGTTAGCATTTTGTGGTGGCATGTCCACCTGGATGGCATGGGGAACATGCTTCCCCAGCAGCCCCCTCCTCCTACCTGATTTAGTGTTTTAAATTCTCCCTACATTTTTACTCACACTGACGCAAAAGTTATAATTTGTTTGGATGGGCAGGGTAGTCGTACTATGTATCTTGAACCAAAAGAATTATCTGCAATCAGATGAGACCTAGGGTTTGTGTTTAATGGTAGTTTGAAACAGCATCAGACCACTGCAAAACTATGCAAGAGAGCCAATATCATTTTGGATTTTTTGATAATTAAAAAGAATAAATAAACACTTCTTAAAGGCAAAAAAAAAGTATATTTTTTTGTATTTAATAACACTCGACCCTCCTTCTGCCACCACCACCCCCCCCACCCCCAGTAAAAAATCCTAAAAATGTCACTGGTCCTTAGCTAATTATCATAACCTTATTAATAGTAAGGATTTGTAAAATAGTTTTACGTGAAGAATGCATAGCCTTTGTTGTATCAGATTGCCCACTTTTATCCCTTCCCCCCCCACCAAGCAGGTCTATGTGACACCTCAAGTAAACAAATCCAACGAAATAAGGTAATAGATAAATTAATGTATTGAATTTAATAAATTCCAGCTATGATGTAGATACTAAAGGTATATATTCAACAGACGTAGCTAATAAAACGTGAGAATACTCAGTTTATGTGGTTCTCATGTTCTTAATAATAAGTCAGTATGAATATAACATGTACGTGTTGGAAAAATACTACTTGAAATAACATTCTTCATTAAAATGTTACCAGAATTAATCACGTAAGCTTATTTTTTGGATAGTAATCTTGGGATGTTTGAAATACAGTTAGTTTTACAGTCGATGAATTTCTGCTATGTAATATTCAAGTAAACTATTAGGTATGATACAGTAACTATATTTAAAAAAATTACAATATAGTAATTTCTGTTTTTGATTCATTAATATTATTCGAGTACTAAAACCAGTATGCTGTAACCAGAAATCCTAGAATGTCCGTAAGATAAATTGTTACTCTTGGAATATCTTAAGATTTCATCTAATTTACTCGTATTTATCTTGTAGCATGCCTGATATTAATTGAACTTGTATGGGATTCATAAATATATGATTTCAATCAAATTATTTTACTTATAATTTTATTTGGAAAAATTAAAAAAAGTTTATGTGTGTGTGTGTATATATATACATATATTTCTATGTATATTTAGAATACCTTGTTTTGAAACAAGTGAATCATTAATATTTTTATTATTATTATTCCCAAATATTACCTGGGCCTAGGTCCCCCACTAAACCTTAATCTGGTCACTGGTAACACTTGCCTTCTACTACTTTTAGCAGACCAAAAACAGCTCCATTACACTGAGGAGAGTAAAAGGTTAAAGAAGAATCCAGTTGTTACTTTAAGTACCGCTACAGATAATGTAGAAAATTCAGGGAGATTAGAAAGGACCGAAATGAGACGTAAGAAAAACGACTCGTGGCCTGGAGTTGAAGCTATATTAGAAGCCTATGAACATCATTTAGCAGGTGGGAATTTTGTTTCACTCCTACAAGATTAAAACCATGTTGGTGAGTTTTCTACTGGTTAGGTTGTATTTGATACAATCCTTCTGTTTTGGTAATGGCTTGCTGAATAGATGGGTTTTCTGTAGTAACTGTTTATCGATCATCAACAGTCTTCCATGCTAATCATCATGTTTATCTATCTTCTTTCTCTTCACAACATCCAAGTGACACTATTATTCCTGGAATCACTGACAACTGTGATATAATGTGTCAATACTATGATGGTAAATCTGATGATAGTTAGAAGGTATACTAATAAATAGTTATAACTTAATTGTAGATTTGGATTAGAAAGTCTGTATTTTTGAAGTTAATAACATTAACCTGGTTATGAATATATATAATTTGATTTTTTTTTTAAGTGTTGCCAGATGCATTATTTGAGCAATTCTGATTGGCTGCAAACTTTTAATTCGTAACAGATGTGCAGAGAACTTTCTGGTTTTGTAAACTCTGAAGAAAGAATAATACCTTCCATTTCCAAGAGAACATTATCTTAAAAAATTACAATTTTCACACAGTGGATTCCTCTATTTATTTTACAAGAGAAATACTTCCAGAGGAAGTCTTGTTTAATTTTCTACAATTAATCTGTTGTTGACATAATTACACAAAATATTTATGTTGTAATTTTTTTTCTTGTTACATAATAATAAAAATTGCAAACTTTCGTGTGTCCAAAAAAGGGGCAGGCATAATCTGATGATTAGTGTATCAGGCTGCGGATCGTAAGGTCCAAGATTCAAGCTATAAAATGCCACTGAACATGCTCTGCACTTTGAGCTGTGAGAGGGATTATAACCATCACGGTTAATCTTACAGTTTGGTTAAATGTTAGTCTTGTTGTCCTCACTCTGGTTAACAATCATTAATTATTTTTGGCTGAACCTTGGAGTCTTCAATCTATTCATTATCAGATAGTAACATAAGGTGCCAGTCAGGTTCAAAATACCAGATGTGTCTGAGAACAGTAAAACCTAGTGATACTCCTGATCATCAGGTGAAAGTGGCTCCATAAGTTGGTGGAGTAGTAAAAAAATTAACCGCGTCATAATAAGAAAGAATAAGCAATAATAAGAATTACCGATTGATGCTGGCATAGAAGATACAAATTTTGGAAAATTGTGTATTGTCCTGAAAGTGGAATTTGAAAACATCCTACATAATAAAATATTCACTTTTTGGTGACAAATTAAATTAGTTTGAAAACTTACATCAATCACCACTGCTTACTGAGTCATTGCCCTAGGAAGTAAAGGTTTAGGGGTGATAAGATGCTTCCACATTGGCTGGAATTGTATAGACTACTTCAACTCCAAGAAAGGTACACATGTATCAGAAAACAAAACTTACAGAATTGCAACAGGTCAACTGGGATCACATAAATATGATAATGTAATATTCAAGCAGTGGGAGGGTCTTGGGAACAAACACAAAAAGTAGGTAGTGAAGATGTACTATTGATGCTATGTCCTTTCTTGTATCTTTTCTTTTACAGTGTGTTTTTCAGTGGAGTAAATAAGTGATTTTTGCTTATGGTTTAAACATGTGCTTTTATAGTTCGTTGAGATTCTTTTATATTTCTTTGAAACAGAACAAAAGTCAGAAAAAGAGTTTCTGACTGAAAGATGTCAAGAGCTAAGCCTTAGAAACCAGGAGTTCAACTCTCAAGTGGAGAGAATGCATCAGCAATTAAAAGTGAGCATTTTAAAACAGTTTCTTATTCAGCCGAATGTATTCACGTGTTGTGACTTGCCCAAATGTTCTACTGTTACTAGCTGCTTCCCATAACTTGTTTCAAAAGGAATACGAATTTAAAGATAAAAAACCATCAATGTTCTATCATGTGCAACTGTTCCGAATCATGAAGTAGTCGTCGTAAACTGTGACTTGTTACACATGTTCAGATATATGTTTACACCGTATTATCCTTGTGTGTATATATATTAAGTGTCCTGCTAAATAGGAAACTTGACTCGCAATTTGCAGATCGTGGATTCAAATCCTGTCACCAAACATGCTCACCTATTCAGCCATGGGGGGTGTTTGAATGGGACGTTGAATCCCAATTTTCATTGTTAAAAGAGTTGGCAGAGGGTGGTGTTGAACAGCTGCTTTCCCTCTAGTTTTTCACTTCAAAATTAGAGATGGCGAGTGCAGATAGCCCTTTGATAGCTTTGTGTAAAATTCCCGCAAAACAAACATTAGGGAGAATTATGGGTAAAATATATAGTTGTTGTCGTGTATGTAATACTTGGAGGAACAGTGTTTGTTTACAGTTCTAATCATTTCTTCATGTCTGTATACAGTACAGTAGCTAAGGAAAACTTGAATGCTTGATTTGAACTTGTCTGTTTTGTTGTTGTTTTACAGAAACTTTTCACAAATACTTGATTTGAACTAGTCCTGTTTTGTTGTTGTTTTACAGGAACTTCTCACAAATACTTGATTTGAACTAGTCCTGTTTTGTTGTTGTTTTACAGAAACTTTTCACAAATGCTTGATTTGAACTAGTCTGTTTTGTTTTTGTTTTACAAAAACTTTTCACAAATACTTGATTTGAACTAGTCTGTTTTGTTGTTGTTTTACAGGAACTTCTCACAAATACTTGATTTGAACTAGTCTGTTTTGTTGTTGTTTTACAGGAACTTCTCACAAATACTTGATTTGAACTAGTCTGTTTTGTTGTTGTTTTACAGGAACTTCTCTCACTAAAGCACCATCTCCAGGAAGACAGACAGCATTACCAAAACACCGTAGACAAACTTAAAAAGTGCCTTCACCAGCTGAGGTGAAATTGTTTGGAATTGATGACCTTTAGCTCTTCTGGGCTTCTGCTCATGGTTCTGATGTAATACATTTCCATTCTTTGGGACCACTTTTGTTAAACTGAGATGTGACGAATGGAGCCATATTGTGTTGTTTTTTCTATGACGGTGTTTACTTATGTGGTTTCTTTGGATATCCCTGCTCTATGAAGTTCAACTTTTAACTTAAAGTATTAATGTGAATATATAAATAAAAGAATGTTATTTAAAGCTTCAGAAGAATTAACTTGCATAGGAGGATCAACTATTTATCAGAAGAGCCATGTGACAAACAGTCTACACAAACAGATTTTTGATAACAGTCAATTTCCATGTAGCCTGCACCTAGTCTAGCCACAAACTGTGTGTTCATCTCAGTATCATGTTAAATTATACATTATGTTTTTGCTCCATTAATTGTCGTCCAGTTTTCGTGTAATTATTTCAGAATTACAAAAATATGTATAACTTCATTATATTTGATTTGAATTAATTAACTGTGAACTCACAGTTTAATAACAATTAACTCATACTAACTGTGTGACAGAAAAGGTCATTTAATAAATATAGGGCTTAAAAATACATCAGGGGTATTTAACACAAAACACTAAAAATTCACCAAATAAGCTGTTTCGGTGAGCTTAATTATAAATCTATTATAGTTGAGCCAAATTCACTAAATAAGCTGTTTCGGTCAGCTTGATTATAAATATATTATAGTTGAACCAAATTCACTAAACAAGCTGTTTTGGTGAGCTTGATTATAAATCTATTATAGTTGAACCAAATTCACCAAATAAGCTGTTTCGGTGAGCTTGATTATAAATCTATTATAGTTGAGCCAAATTCACTAAATAAGCTGTTTTGGTGAGCTTGATTATAAATCTATTATAGTTGAGCCAAATTCACTAAATAAGCTGTTTTGGTGAGCTTGATTATAAATCTATTATAGTTGAGCCAAATTCACTAAATAAGCTGTTTCGGTCAGCTTGATTATAAATCTATTATAGTTGAACCAAATTCAATAAATAAGCTGTTTCGGTCAGTTTGATTATAAATGTATTATAGTTGAACCAAATTCACTAAATAAGCTGTTTCGGTCAGCTTGATTATAAATGTATTATAGTTGAACCAAATTCACTAAATAAGCTGTTTTGGTCCATTTGATTAATAATAAACTTATAGTTGAGTCAACTGCCCGACCGTTAACGGCTCCCAAATCTCTTTAGATGTAAAATTATTCTAAATTTACACACTTAACTTAGCTTTGTGTAATATATATATACATCCGTTCGTTTACTAATCATTAACTAATGATTATGTTATTATATTACAATTTTTGTAATAATCATCTTTGTAATGTAACATAATTTTCAGATTTCGCTGAAGATGGAATAAGTTATTCTGAAACGTTCGAACCTAGTAAAACATAACTGATTTAATTAATGTCACCAGTTGAGCCACGACTTCAACTTTCACTACAGTATTTGTTCCAGGAGAACCAGTTACAGATGTACTAATAGATTTTGCCAAAACTTAGATATCAATAAAAAAGCTTCCTCCAGCATCCTGACTTCCACTAGTTCCAGCCATAAACAATAACATACCCATTAAGTGATTAACACTAACAATAGTAACAGTCGCTCATTTTTAAATGGGGTGATTTAAAAATTTTGTTGTTGCATCTTACGAAAAAAGCTGAGGTCAGAGCTATAGAATATGTTCAAAACTCTCATACATTGTACAGATTATCACACATACAAACGCAAAGAGTACGTATAACGTAATTAGTTGGTAACTCTATATGGTTACGGACTTCACATTCCCTCGCGTTAACGATATGTTGTTGTTTATGCGATTGACATGCTACCTGGTGAAGAAATATGCGACACCGTTATTTACAACTATGCAAAACTTTGGGCTCCTTTGCGTTACTACTTTTTATTTTATTTTTGGATGAATACGGGTTGCACTATTATTCTGAAACTTCCCAGATATAAGTTAGAAGCTAGTTTGTAGATGCTTTTTTTTTAATTTATATTAATTTACAATATGTAATTTAGTTATTTACAGTGTATTTATAATAATATATAATATTAAATTTCTTAAATAGTAATAACTGCATTGGCCAAGTGTGATAGGCATGGTACATAAAGCTTTCCTAATGACAATTCTACTTTGGCGCTTGGTGATATCACTAAGCAGGCCCAAACTCGACAGGTGTTGTTTGGGTAAGGACTGAAAACACCGCTAAGAGCGAGAATACCCAACTGATGACATAGGGCAAAGTTGTCGTAGAAGTTTTTTTATAATACTGATAATTAATCAAGTCTATCTATTATTAATTGTAATTGTTTTTTAACATTTTAGTAGCTCTTATAGAAGAAGTAATTACATAACTGATACAGCCGGTATATATCTAAACAACTAGTGCATTATAATATGTAAGACATAACATAACTTTAAATAATAAATCATATTAAACTCCTTCGTGATATGTTTCAAGAATATGCTCATGGGAAATCATGAAAATTTAAACTTTTCCATTACGCTTCTTTCGAAACGTGCGACTGTCTCTCTCAATTTTATGTATATAATAAAATATATGCATAAAATTGTACCAATGGCCAAACTAAGTTAACCTCAATATGTATGATATGAACGCCTTTTACAAGTTTGCGAAGCATGATCATTATTAATTATACTTGTGAAAAGAAAGTATTAAGCTTACTATATTTTTAACACTGCATTCTTTACCTAGTCTGCAATGTTACAAATATTGTAGGCCTAATAGTAACGCCTTCTGACAAGTATAAATTAACGTCCCATTTTGGGGAGAATGACTCGAAGGAAGTTTCTGTACGACTGTATAATATATTTTTACGATGAATATTTCAAAAACATTAGGTTTTATTCATCTACTCTGTTTATCTTTGCTGCTTGATAAGTAGTTTTATCTAAACCTCCATTATACAGCGGCAAATCTGAAGGTTTATAACGCTAAAAACTGGGGTTCGATACCCGTGGTGGGCCTTTGTTGTAAACTCTTCTACATGTGAAAAATGCCACTTCATCATATGAACATAATATACATAAGATTTCAGAAGGGCACGGCAAACTGAACTTGTTTAAAAAATAGTAAATTCTGCAAAAATAAATTATTTGGTCACAGTACCAAAATTTTCCATTTCTATAGCATTCCCAGGTGCCCTTATTTTTCTTAGAGTAATTGGGTAGATTCTGCAGAATACTAGGAGATTCAATGGAAAATAGTTTAAAGAACAAATATGAGTTCTGTAACATTTGACTGAATTTTGAATAAAGAAAAATAATGGACACAGAAAATTAAGCAAGATCATCTTTATTTATCTTGAAAATACAAGCAAAAGACAAAGAGAGTGCATTTATGGTGTCTTTATTACATGCTTGGGAGTTCTCAGAGAAGAAGTGAATTTAATCTTTCTAAATCTCTGCAAGGAATTATTCTGAACGGAGAAAACATATCATTATAAACATGAAACAATAACAATATTTTTTTTAAGGATGCATGCGCTATCTATATTAGTATTGGTCATTTGCATATAAATATAAGGGAGTTTGTAACCTCAATATATCATCTGACCCATCACTGGAAAAGACCACCATCCACTTTCATAGTATTCAACTTTTCATAAAATTTTCCCAGAAGAATACACATGATACCACAGGTGAATGACCCAGAACAACAGGTAACTATGGTGAAAGGAATTTTGCTACTTCCTTGACCAAAATTCCATATTAAAAGTATATACGCTGTATGTGTGGAAAATGTTGATTGTTTTAGATATTAAAAAAGGGGTAGAAAATGTGTAGTATGTAGGCACACTACATTAATATACTTGCGCTATCCACATTACTGTTAGTCATTTCAATAAGAAAATATAGGAAGATATATCCTCAAGATATCAGTAAATACCTCATGCTATATTATTTTGTAATTGCTGTCACATTATAATACGCAAACTTTCTCTCTTATATATTTGTCTAATTTTGAAAACAGAACATTGGTCAAGAAATGTAGTAAAATTCGTTTTACTTTAATTGCCTATTGCTCTGCAATGTCAAGTATGCTTTCTCGTGGGACAAATTGCTGTAAAATAGACCACACTATGTAAAAGTGAACAGTGATCTTTTCCATTAGTACTCAGGTTTTTTTTTCCATTTAAAGACAGTGTTGTTGTGTTGCTTTTTCATTTTGTTTGATTCATAGTCTTTGAATAACAACACTTGTTTACGTGGCCTAGAGCTGTAGTAATATCAATATTACTACGTAAGTGTGTATTATCATGATATTTTGAGGAAAAAAGAAAAAACACTGGAAATATGGCGGTGAGTGTAAGAGAAGTGCTGACGAAGTTTTATGAGGACTATGTGTCAAATACCCCGAAACGATTGAAAGTTATAGATGCCTATGTTTTTTATATTATTCTAACAGGAATAATTCAGTTTGTGTATTGTTGTCTAGTGGGTACCTTTCCTTTCAACTCGTTTCTATCGGGATTTATTTCGTGTGTAGTGTCTTTCGTTCTTGCCGGTAAGTTGTATTATATTTGAAGTTGTAAGATTAGGCTTAGTATTATGACAATTTCTTTAATGTTAATGTAGCATGATCAACAAAAATATGTTCATACATAGTTATGTCATAAAAAATTATAAAATAGCGTACGAGTTACGTTCAATTTATTTACAAATTAATTCATTATTAGTTTGATTTACAGTTACACATATAAATTAGATACTGATAATCACCGACTAAGTTTATAATGAGGTGTGAGATAGACTCGATATTATAATAATCATTAATGCCACTCACTGGTTGTGAAGTTACAAATATAAGTTTGATAAATTTTCCCCGTTGAAAGTAATATATGGTGCTAGGTCGTGATAAGAACACAACATAATTAACATTTCTACAACGTAAGATTTTTTAATTTTTATCAAAAGTTTTTACTTAAGCTTATCATTCCATCTGGTAATGTGTTCTTTTTGAACAATAGAATTAAAAATTGGAAGAGCTTGTATTTCAAATAAATAAAACGTGACAAGAAAGCCTCTTATTAGCTGTGTTTTATTTATTTCACAGCCCATGTATTAAAATGAAAGTGGAGGGACGTTAAGAATCAGATACACTGTTTTAAATTACCCATTTTTAGAAGAAATCTCGAGAAAACTAAAAGTTATTTTTTAAGTTATAAAAGTTCACAAATTTTCTTTCCATCCCCCTTAAAGAAATGTAAGAATGAATCTATTGTGTTTTTCCTTTGGTCTTCACCTCCATTGTCATGTTATGTCCAATGTACTTGTAAATGCAAGAGACATTGGGTTAGTGGTTGTGTGATTTTTTTGCATTAATTTAGAGAAGTAATCCAACAAAAACGTTTATATTATTCTCAATTACGCAACTTGGAGGATTATTGCACGAGTGATCAAAATGTTATACCTGTTTTTTAAAATATTCTTTCTTACTGTAAAAGCTGTAACTTGTAATGAAATAATACTTATAATCAGTAAGTAAACTCAAATAAAACTCAACTATTGTTTAATTCCTAGAACCTGTTTCAATTTATGTACACAAGTTAGAAGAAATTCATTGTTCGTGATACAAGAAAAATGAGAAACAGAGTGAAATGTTTTTTTATTTTTCTTTCAGTGTGTTTACGACTGCAAGTTAATCCACAAAATAAAAGCCAGCTACACTACATTGGCTCAGAACAAGCTTTTGCTGAATTTATCTTTGCTCACGTCATTTTGCATCTAGTCGTCATGAATTTCATTGGATGATCCGGTAAGTTCAGATTTTCATTAGTGATTTTTAACCAGAAAAAAATTGGTTACTGACATTTCTAATTCTCAGCAATATATTTAGTTTAAACAAAATTTTGTTTAACATAAAATATGAGAAATAAATTATTGGAAAGACCTGGAAGGATGTTTACAGTGGGGAAAAAAAAGTTTATATTGTTCAAAAATACTTAAATTATTATTTTTTGCTTTTGTGAAATACAGCTTATCTTAGCAACAAATTAAATAGAAGATACTATTCAAATAATAGATTAAAACTGTAGTCACAACAGAATCCAAAACCCTCATAGGGCGAGGGTAATAACATACAATATACCTTATCACATTTCACTCTTCCAGAAAATAGTACTAATGCTGATTATCTCAAATTATAAAAAAAATTACAATTATGTAATATATGATCACTTTTAGTCATGGACTATAATTTATAAACAAGAGGGAATCCTCAATAGCTGTTGAAAATGAAAATAATTACTTATGAATTTACATTTTTACCGTTAAATTGAACCAGTTTGATTGAAAGACTACGTATTTCATGTACATTTATTGAGACAAGTTATGTTATCACTGGTCCAGGTTGCTTAATGTTGTTTGCTGGACTTCCCTGGGTAGTGATACGATTTAATCATGTTGATTATTCTTTAAATTACATGCCTCTTCAGACAAGCACTGTAGGTGTTGAATAAGTTGTGGTGATTTAGTCAACTTTATTGTACTTTTACCTCGTGGTAACTCGATACTATGGGTCAAAATGTTGAGATTATTAAGATCAGGAGTTGCCTACTTTAAAACCTGCTGTTATTGTGTTTTTGAACTAATTATTCAGTTCAGTAGGTTATTTACTAAACATTAATCTCACAGTTGGACTATACAATGAACAAACTTTATTAGCATATGCTGTTGACGAAGTTTTGTATATATTAATCAGTTGAACAGAACTGTTTCTTGTTATGGTATATGTGATCTGTAGCACAGCTTCAGATAAAATGATAATTATCCTTGGCAGACAGAGGAAAATTAAGATAGTTTTTAAAAGACATTTTGAATTCACAGATTATGATTTAAAGGTGCTATTGGAGGATTACGGATTAATTAGGGTCGAGGATAAATTATTCAGTTCATATAAAAATACTTTTATAGGTACTTATAATACAGAGATTCTCCATCTACAGCTTAGTGTAGAACAATAATTTATAAGTATTTGTTATAAAAAAATTCTGGTTACATTTTAAATAGCTTGAAATCATCTTAGGTTGTTTGAAGAGGTGTTTCCACGGTGAGCAAGATTCAGTGTTCCATTCTTGTCATTTGATGATTTCCATTATGCAAAGTGAGAAAATTAGCACTTGTATACAAAATTTTAAAAGATTCAATAAAAATTAATATATGCTTTTCTTGATAATGAATTTTTATTTATTTATTTTCCCGGTTTGGATTCAAACGTAAGATCCCTTACACACCATGCACGTGCTCTACTAACTGAGCAAAATGGTAAACTCACTAGAAATATCTAGCACGTCACTTGTTTAACTACTCAAACCACCACAGTTATCTATAGAGAGTGGGTAATTTCTGGTAGTGTACGCGTAGTGAGTTTATTTTTTATATTTATAACATTGACATTTGGAAGAGTGAATATTGTCATTATCCCATATTACAGATTTTTATGTTTGTAAACATGTAGATTCTCTTGGCCTTTATAATTGAACATACAAACTGTTTGAATAGTAGAGTTAGGTAGGCTACAAGTTCATTTAATAACTCTTAACATCTCTAAGGAATACAAGTAAATTAAGTTAGCAATTGATGTGTTTGAAGTAAAATGAACTCTGATAATAAGAAGGATTATGAAACTTATGAAGAACAACAGTATTTATTTAAAAAAGGACACAGATAAATATTTTGAAATTTTTACAGATTCCATCTTTTTTCATTATCTAAAGCAAAATATCAAAATTGTATATCACTTTTTGGACATCATTCAAATTACAATGCTACATTTAGCAATAGTTAAACTAAAACAAATGCATGGAAAGTGAGTAACAGGAGAATTTAAAAATAAGAAAAGATAAACAAAATTGGAGTAACATCGTCATTATTATTATACTGATAAAAACAAAAAAATGTACAATTTAAATTAAAAATGTGTGTTATTTTGGGTCGGAGAATGCTGTTTGATGTGGAAGGTTTCTGTGATTCTATATCATTGTTGGACTTCCAGAGGATAAGTGAAATTAGCTATGTTGAGCTGGTGACCTGTTTCTTCACTATGTTGATATATATAGAAGAAGTACGTGGGTTACTCAACTTTTTTTTTTGCATTTTACTGGAAATTCTCATATGTTCATTGGCTCTGACTTTTGGATGAAGTTTGGATTTTTCAGTATAGGAGACCTTACAGTTTCCAGGTGTGTAAAGATACGTACTAGACCTCCTTCCATTTCCTCATTGTTCTTGAGACTATAAGATTTGTAACGACAAATCCAAATGCCATCTAAGTCTACTCCTATTACTCACTTTTCATGCATGTTTTGTGTACTTATTTGTTAAATGTATCAAAGTAATTTTAGTGATGTCCAACAAAATGATGCAAGTTGTTGATATTTAGATACTGAAGATGGGATCTGTAGGATTCTGAAACGTTTATCTTTGTCCCTGTTTTAATAAATAGACAATAATTATCATAACCTTTTTATTACAAAATAAAATATCTATTTTTGCGATTTTAAAGACCAATTAAAGTTATTGACATATTTTTGTCTAGTTATTTTACTGTTACGGAGTCGTTATACTCGTGAAGTATTAGAGGATCTTTTTGTTTTACTCTCTCTATTTCTATCACCACTTTTACATTCTTACAATTTTAGAATGTTATAATTGTTTGTCTTTACACACACTCGTACAATTGATCGTTATTTCCGTGATAAATACACTAATGCTAAAAATATGACATAAAATTCTAGAAATGTGGTTTGAAGGTATTCTTATTTAATAGGGTTTGATGGATCGTTGTGCCTTCTGTTCAATTTCCTTCAAGTATTTTTCAGGTACGTTATAATCCCTGAAAAAAAAAAAAAAGCACAACAGATGTGTATGAATAAAGGTAATAAAACAGAATTTACAATTATATTACTTTGTGTGTGATATTTCAGTATGATTTCTTTTAAATACTACTGAATATAGATTACGTTGAATTTTTTTATAATTTTAGTATTCTGTGAACATTTACTGCAATAAACTGAAGCTAACTTGTGTCATATAATTACACTGCGCAACTTATTAAGGCTAACAGAAACGTATTTATAAAGACCGAAAAGCTCACAGAATTGTGGAAGTAATTTACTAAAGAAACCTGACAACCTGGGTACTTTTGTAAAGTAGCTCTTATTTTGATGAAAAACGTTCCTTTTGAAATCTGTTGGATTCTTGTTTCTCTGTAATTGTAATAAAATACTATTCTTCATATTATTTTAAACCTTAGAAGTATTTAATATTTCTTTGGGAAAGCAGATAACAAAAGCCAGTAAGAAAATAAAAACAAAAATGCCACAGCATATTTACATTTTCAGTAGAGTTTGGCTTTAATGGACTGTTTCTAGAGTGGGGTGATATTTCAGCTTCTATAGTGAGGCCTTTCTTAAAATAATCCTTAAACAGCACATGTTTATATTTAAAAAAAATTACATGTGTTTTAGTTTTTATGAGTAAATTTTTTAACACAAAACAATTCAAGCTGTACAGAATCAAAATGATAAGGAACAGATTACAGAGCTTTGAAAGTAGCAGGAGCTCATCTCTCCCCAAAATCTGTGAATTAGAGATACAACTAAGACCCATATGTACTACACTGTTGTCCTAGTACCGATTCTATTTCCTGTCAAAACTTGAAACAAACATCAATGTGATAAACACAAAGTTTCATAACTGAACTGAAAAACATAACTGTATAAACCAGTGATCTCCAAGTTAGTCAATCTTAATATATACATGGCATATCTTCCAACATCTTGGTTGAAGAGACTAGATACAGTCTGCCAGATGAAACTCTCTTAATTCCCACGGCATGTACCGATACCACCTTGGAATTTATAAACCTTTAACTGCGGGACACTTTTTAGGAAGAGTTTGAAAACCAAATGTCAATGTTGTTGTCAGGCTACTAAAACTAGTTCCCAGACACTTAAACCTTTTTATGACACTTGAATTAAAGGTAGTCGAGTCCTTTCTTTCCAAATATCATGATTCACTCTAGAATTCATAATAACAAACAGCATCTACATAAAGTCATCGGCAGAAACACACACACCTCAGTTTTTATGTTAAACCATTTTCCTCCTCCTCAACAAAACCTTTTAAGTCTATTCACGGGTAAGAAGACACAAAAAAAAACATTAAACAAATGGATATCCAGATAGATCACACAAAGAACTACATGTCAACATTACCTTCATCTTTCTACTCAAGTTAGCTACACTGTCTGAAAGATTTAGAGGAACTTTTAAATCTGAACTAATATTCTGCATTTCCTTAACTTATGTAAAAAAAAACAACAACAAAAACGAATTGGAGTAATTTACAAAACACCATACAGCTTTGGAGTCATCATACACACCAAACTAACAAAAATCAACAATTCTACCATTGTAGAAGATACAACTGATACTGCCATAAATAAGATACAACTGCAATATTATATAATAGACCTAAAAAAAAAGTTCTACACATTAAAAACAGCACTCAACAAGATGAAGAAAACGATTAGTGATCGAGAAACAAGCTTAAAAACTAATCAGATAACACTCAGTATAACATTACTAGATTGTGTTGACTTAAAGTGATTATAAACATCATCCATCTTCCCAACTATGTAAGCAAGCTGTTCATACAACTCTTAAGTATTTTATTGAATTTACTTATGTCTCTCTCTGGTATACAGGATGTTGTAAAGTTGTTTTTTTGAACAGAAATACAGTATTTAAATATTTGTACCTAATGAAAAAAAAAAGTTCTAATTAGCTGTTTTGTGAGAACTAATGGGCTAAGAAATGTACTGTATTGTGTGAAGTAATGTGCTGTGTTGTGTGAAGTAATGTGCTGTGTTGTGTGAACTAAATGAGCTAAAAATGTGCTGTATTATATGAACTAATGAGGCAAGAAATGTGCTGTGTTGTGTGAACCAAATGAGCTAAAAATGTGTTGTATTATATGAACTAATGAGGCAAGAAATGTGCTGTGTTGTGTGAACTAAATGAGCTAAAAATGTACTGTATTATATGAACTAATGAGGCAAGAAATGTGCTGTGTTGTGTGAACAAATGAGCTAAGAAATGTACGGTATTGTGTGAAGAAATGTGCTGTGTTGTGTGAACCAAATGAGCTAAAAATGTGCTGTATTATATGAACTAATGAGGCAAGAAATGTGCTGTGTTGTGTGAACTAATGAGCTAAGAAATGTGCTGTGTTGCGTGAACTAATGAGCTAAGAAATGTGCTGTGTTGCGTGAACTAATGAGCTAAGAAATGTGCTGTGTTGCGTGAACTAATGGGCTAAGAAATGTGATGTGTTGCGTGAACTCATGGGCTAAGAAATGTGTTGTGTTGCGTGAACTAATGGGCTGAGAAATGTGTTGTGTTGCGTGAACTAATGGGCTAAGAAATGTGTTGTGTAATGTGAATTAATGGGCTAAGAAATGTGATGTGTTATGTGAACTAATGGGCTAAGAAATGTGTCATGTTGTGTGAACTAATGAGCTAAGAAATGTATTGTATTGTGTGAACTGATAAGCTAAGAAATGTGGAGTGTTGTGTGAACTAATGGGCTTAGAAATGTGGTGTGTTATGTGAACTAAATGAGCTGTGTTGTGTGAACTAATGAGCTAAGAAGTGCACTGTGTTGTGTGAACTAATGAGCTAAGAAATGTATTGTATTGTGTGAACTGACAAGCTAAGAAATGTAGAGTGTTGTGTGAACTAATGGGCTAAGAAATGTGTGTTATGTGAACTAAATGAGCTAAAATGTGCTGTGTTGTGTGAACTAATGAGCTAAGAAATGCACTGTGTTGTGTGAACTAATGAACTAAGAAATGTCTTGTATTGTGTGAACTAATGAGCTTAGAAATGTCTTGTATTGTATGAACTATCGAGTTAAGAAATGTGCTGTGTTGTGTGAACTGTAAGTTCAAGTTATAATATCAAAGTTAGGCTCATCAACTTGTCAAGTTATAATATCAAAGTTAGGCTCATCAACTTGTCAAGTTATAATGTCAAAGTTAGGCTCATCAACTTGTCAAGTTATAGTGTCAAAGTCAGGCTCATCAACTTGTCAAGTTATATTGTCAAAGTCAGGCTCATCAATTGTCAAGTTATATTGTCAAAGTCAGGCTCATCAAATTGTCAAGTTATAGTGTCAAAGTTAGGCTCATCAACTTGTCAAATTATAATGTCAATATTAGGCTCATTAACTTGTCAAGTTATAATGTCAAAGTTAGGCTCATCAAATTGTCAAGTTATAATGTAAAAGTTAGGCTTATCAACTTGTCAAGTTATAATTTAAAACAAAATAATTTAGCAAATTTTATGCATTAGTTGTAAAATTCTGAATACTTTAAACAATCAACAAAAAGAAGCAACACGAGTTAATATACCTGAGTTGTTGAAGTTTCCTCCTTTTGACTTCTTCTAAATCAGCTTTTCTTTTCTTTGTTGTTTCTTCTTGTTTCGTACTTTCTTCAGATTGTTGTTTCCTTTGTAAAAAACGCTCCTTTTCTTGCTGTAAAATCTGCTTCCTCAGTTCCTCGGCATATTGAAGGTTTCTCTGACACTGTTTCTCTTCTTCTTCTTTTTCCTTTTCTATAGCTTTCATCTGAGCCCTGATCATACAATCATACATCTGGTTATAAGTGAGACAGAGATCTTTTTGTTTTAATTAGTTCAATATTTTTATTTCCATGGGATGTTTGAGTACGTGTATTTTAAAACTTTTTTATTAGTTTAAAATTAAAATGAATTTTGTTTGAAGGTTAATTTCTGTATCACAGGAATCAAAGCGCCTGAAGGAAGCAAGTATCTCAAGTGTACATTATAATTTTTAGCTGTATCTGTTTATATCTAAATGTAAAGTCAAGTTATGCATTATAATTTTTAGCTGTATCTGTTTATATCTAAATGTAAAGTCAAGTTGTGCATTATAATTTTTAGCTTTATCTGTTTATATCTAAATGTAAAGTCAAGTTGTGCATTATAATTTTTAGCTTTATCTGTTTATATCTAAATGTAAAGTCAAGTTGTGCATTATAATTTTTAGCTTTATCTGTTTATATCTAAATGTAAAGTCAAGTTATGCATTATAATTTTTAGCTTTATCTGTTTATATCTAAATGTAAAGTCAAGTTATGCATTATAATTTTTAGCTTTATCTGTTTATATCTAAATGTAAAGTCAAGTTATGCATTATAAGTTTGAGCTTTATCTGTTTACATCTAAATGTAAAGTCAAGTTATGCATTATAATTTTGAGCTTTATCTGCTTATTTCCATATGTAAAACCACATTATATATTACAGTTCTTAGCTTTCTGTTTATTTGTAAATGTAAAATCACACTATATATTAGAACTGTTAGCTTTATCTGTTTACTTCTGTGTTAAATCATATTACATTATAATTGTTAGCTTTATCTGTTTACTTCTATGTGTTAAATCATATTTCATTATAATTTTAGCTTCACCTGTTTACTTCTGTGTTAAATCGTGTTACCTGAGCTGCTTTTCAAACTCGATGCGTTGTCTTTCAGCTTCAACTGCCAGAAAGTTCCGTTGGTATAAAACCTGTTCTTCTCTTGATTTCCTTAACATTTCTTCCACTTCCTTCTTCTTTAAAACTTCCTCCTTCTCCTTTCTTCTCCATTCTCTCTCCACTTGCTCTTGGTTTCTACGTGCTCGTAAGGCATCCTGCATATGCAACAGTAGTAATACCATCCATAAGAGATTCTGTGGATACTCTTTACTGTGTCAATAGACCAAATAGTAGTTTTGGAATGAAAGTAGGGATATCCAATGAACACTAACTTATTTTTCACCCATAATAATGTTCAGAACTTCCTTATATATTACTTAAATATAGCATCCTAGTTGTCTGCATAAAAAAAAAAAAATGATACTGAATTGTGATTTTTCAGTTTCATAGGAGGTATAATTAAATAAAACAAATAACCTATTTTACTATAGTACGTTTAATTTCATTGTAGATTCTAAATAATGGTAAAACTTTCAGCACAAATCATGATATGTTTAGTTAAAAAAAAATTATTGGGCCATTGCAAGTTTAGAATCTAGAATCCACCTTCAAAAAAAAACCTAATACCTTGTGGAAACTAATTACAAAATACCAAAAGAACTGCATAAGGCAGTTGTTTAATAACATAAGAAAGTTACAGCCCTGTTCAAAAAATACAAATGTACGTAACAAACTCCGTACGTTGTAACCTGTATTCGATGACTGTGATGTAGTTAGCCTATCATAATGTATCTAGTTTTCTATGTTTTTAGATACTAAGTACTTTAGAAAAAATTGCACATTTTAATACTAGCTACATGAAATTAACATCCTCTTATAAATATTCTAATGCTTTTGATAAGGCTGTACACGGCTTAGTAGTTTAAGTGCCAGGCTGTGGATTGCAACAACCAGAACTTGAACCACCATATGCCACTGAATATACTCTCCAGTTACAGCTGTGATGGGCATTACAACTGTGGCAGCAAATTCTGTATAGGTATCTGGTGGTGATGCTGTTGACCATTTATCTTCTCTGGTCAGCAGTATTAAATAAGGGGATGGCTGTCTGAACCTTAAGATTCATAGCCCTGATATGAATGTCTTATTATAAGTATAATTAATAATAACCATGCTTAGAAAACCACACCATAACAATTGATTGTCATAACAACGTTGTTTTTAAAGCATTACATAAAAAAATTATAATATATATATATATATACAATTAATTAATTATCTTGTACATGATAAGTACAACACATGCATTTTATTACTTTTTTTTGTAAATTATTGGCCGAAAAGGTCAGTTGCCCCTTCCATGTGAATTAGTGTAGTTTAATAATGTTGGCGATGCAATATATATATATAAAAAATAACTTACATAAGACATGCTGTTTAAATCAGGGTTGTTGTCTTTTCAGATTTTGTTTTGTTGAAAAGTTAACTTGAGCATGTAAAAATATCAGTAATTTATTACAGAAATATCTTTATGGAGTATCCACTAACTGTAATAGAGGGAATTTTTACGACGTTTATTTACTATTAACCTCTAGAAGTGCGTGTTCAATGTACATGAATACACGAACTAATGAAATTAGTTTTAAGTGATTGGCCATACTCTGTCAGCTTCTTGATCTTTCTCCTTTTCTTGTTGTTTTCTCAGCCTTGCGATTTCCAATTCTTTTGCCTTACGTTGTCTTTTCTGATCTTCTTCTCTTGCTGCTTCTTTTTCCTGGCAGTAAAATATAAAACCTGTAAACTCTATTATATTCACAAAAAAGGACAATTCTCGGGGGGGGGGGGGGGTCTGAAACTAATAAAACTAATAAAGAGTACAGGAATGTAAAATAATATGTGTATGAATGGTTAAAAAAGGAATATATATATAAATATGGAAGGTCTTGATATTGACATCCTTATAAGCTGTATGTGGAATAAACTTGCACTAATATGTTAAACCAAAGACTATGCACCGCAAAGATTGTTCCATAAGACCCTATTGCTGTGTCGTGCCCTCCTGAAGTAAGGTCATACTCATTTCTAGACTATTAACATTAATGCTGTTTCACTTCCCTAGACGTTAATCCGATGTTAATATTTTAGTACTAAGCTAAACAATAGGCTATATGCATTCTGTCTACCATGGAGAATTGCCCTCTATATTTTAAGGTTGTAAGTTCTTAAAGTTACTGGCAATGTCCCCTGGTAGGACAGCGGTAAGTTTACGGACTTACAACCCTAAAATCCGGAGTTTGATTCCCCATGATGAACAGAGCAGATAGCCCAATGTGGCTCTATAAAAAACAAACAAACCAAACCCTAGAAAATATTGAGACCACATTAACATCTAGTGCAGTTAAACAACATTGATGTTTACCTACTTTGAATTTTTCTTCTATAACTGTTTTTACTTTATTTACAGACACTGACCCTTATAACCATTGTCAGATGGTACTTAATGAATACATTATTATTCTACAACTGGAGAGTCAAGTTTTAGAAACAGATCTGTCTTACAGCTTTCTGACGCATGTACTCAGTCACTCGAAGATCCTCCATCTGTTCTCTCTCCTTTTCAAGTGCCTTTCGCTTAATGAGTTCCTCATTCTCATGCAGAAGACTTTTCTGAAAGATTGATTTACTCTGGTTAAAACGCATTTCAACAAAAACTTAACACTTACAAGTTGATGTTTATGTAAATAATTGATTATTTGTTCCAGTTAAGAAATTTTTTATCTTTTTAACAACATAACATTAATGGACAACAAAGAACTTTTGGTTCATTTAGGCTATCCTATCCATTAAGTTAAACTAAACATTAAAACACTCAAAGTCAGCCTTTATCGTGCCTTCCCTTAAACTCCTTTGAATTATCATCTACCACACTTGACGGCAACTTGTTTTATAGGCCAACTTCCCTATTAGAAAAATAAACCTGTATTAGCTGAAGATGACTCCTACTCTGTCCAAGTTTATATTTGTGTCTCCTAGTTTTACCAATCTCACTATTAAATATAGAAGGTAAACACCTCAATAAGATTCCCTGTAATTCTTCTCTTTTCAAGAGAAAACAAGTTCAAATATCTTATCCTTTCTTTGTATGACAACCTTTCCATCCCAGGTATCATCCTAATAGCCCTCCTCTGAACCTTTTCTAATAATTCAATGTCCTTTCTAAGGTAAGGAGTCAAAAAACTGAACACACTATTTCAAATGTTGCTTAACTAATGACCTATACAATGACATTATAATCTTTTTAGGCTTGTATTCGGTATTTTTGTAGATACAACCTAAAATCCTATTTTTCCTGCCACTAGCATCATCGCATAGCTTGGATGACTTAAGAGACTGATAAACCAGAACATCAAAATTTTTTATTACCATAACATTGTTAAGGTTATTGCCATTAAAAGTATACCTGTAATTCAAATTATGATATCCCACATGCATTAATTTGCATTTATTGTAATTATAAGTCATCCAACTCACCAAATAATACAAATCCTTTTGTAAAGGGGCCCGGCATGGCTAGGTGGTTAGGGAGCTCGACTTGCAATCTGTGGGTCGCGGGTTCGAATCCCCGTTACACCAAACATGCTCGCCCTTTAAGCCGTGGGGGCATTATAAAGTGATGGTCAATCCCACTATTCCTTGGTAAAAGAGTAGCCCAAGAGTTGGCAGTGGATGGTGATGACTATCTGCCTTCCCTGTAGTCTTACACTGCTAAATTAGGGACGGCTAGCGCAGATAGCCCTCGTGTAGCTTTGTGCGAAATTCAAAACAAACAAACAAACCTTTTGTAAAGCAGTAGCATCATCCTGACAGTCGGCAACACCCAAAACTTTAATGTAATTAGCATATTTAAATAATCTATTGACCATTCCTTCATCTATATCATTAATAGTAAATGAAAAGGAACAAAGGTCCTAATGTTGAGCCCTGAGGTGCCCGACTCGTGACATAAATCCAGTTTGACTGAACATCATTTATAACAACCCTCTGCATTCTTCCATCTAGCCAGTTTTCTATCCAATGAGCCAACGTATCCCCCACACCTACACGGATAACCTTTTAATAAACCTTTTTATGTGGAACCATGTCAAATGCTTTCTGAAAATATTGATACACCAAATCTACATCTGAACCCTCATCGAACTAAGCACTAACCTTTTCAAAGAATGTCAGAAGATTAATGAGGCAAGATTTCCCCTAGTGAAACCGTGTTGATTATCCAACAAAATTCCAAATTTTGTTAAATGACTCTGCAAAGCATCTTTTATCAGACTTTCAAAAACTTTCCTCATCAATGGCGTAATACTAATAGACCTATAATTACAGGAACAATTTTTCATCGCCTTCCTTGAAAAGGGAATTAACGTTAGCCAACTTCCAATATTCTGGCATCTGCCCACTATTCAAGGACTTTGAAAAAAACAGTAGCAAGTGGCTCACACATCCAATCTTTAAATGTCTTTTAAAACTCTTGGGTAAATATAATCTGGCTCAGGAAATTTATCATTCATTAAACTTTCCAATTTGTTCTTAACCAGCTCAGAACTTAACTTCTTTGATCTTGTTTCCATCTAGCAACTGTTCAAGATGAGGAATAATGCTTAAATCTTCATTATTAAAAACTCAAGAAAAAATAGAATTTCATAATTCAGCCAATCTATATCATAAGATATTAGCCTTCCTGTATCCCCCTCAAAGGTTCTACTATCATAAGATATTAGCCTTCCTGTATCCCCCTCAAAGGTTCTACTATCATAAGATATTAGCCTTCCTGTATCCCCCTCAAAGGTTCTACT